ATTGTGTTTATCTGCAGTTAGTTACACGAATTCAGATATGGGAAGGGTTTAAGAGTTTTTAAGAGTTTTAACCAAATGCATTATAATATAGTATAGATAATTAATTTTCAAGAATTCCATTGATACAGATTGTACAAGAAACTTTAGTAAAAATTAATGATTCATTTGTTTACACACTTATAATGCATTTTGTAATTTGTTCATAAAATTATGATATCTTCATTTAGTTATATGAAAATAAAGCTTTGCAAATAAATTCTTCAAAATAAGGAATCAAATACGTTTGTATTTTAATATGATTTTCTTGTTTTTATTTAAAAAAACAAATATTGGGTTTTGTTACAAAAATCCACAGAAGACATGGGAATGGCATGCCTCATGCATGTGTCAAAACGCGGATATGACATATTCTTTGATTCTTTTTTATTCTAAACAAACCAATATTTTGGGTAAAGTTTTTTTTTTTTTTAACTTAGATATTTAACCTGCTATGTAGGTCGACTAATCCTAGAGATGATCACCTGCTTTACGGGTGGCATAGAGTTATCGCATTTGAACCTCTGTGACCACAAGAAGATTTTTATTTCCTCTTTGGACTTGGACTTGGGACCTTCAGACATTTTTGACCTTTGAAGTCAAGTTCAAACCAATCAAACACCACTCTTATAAGCAAAGTTGTTTTAAGATTATACGGGACTCCGTAATCTTTAAATTTGTTTTTATTACTAGTCTTTGACCTCTAAAATACGTTAAATTTCATGTGAGGGATATTTTTGTCTTCTTAACAAACACAAAAAAAGATTAAGGGTATGCAAAAAATTAACCGATCCAATTAGAACCGACCGACCATAATTGTGTACTCAATTTTAATTGGATCAGATCGGATTGAAATTTTCAACAACCAATTTGGATTCGCTCGTTTTTTGGATGGTAGTCCAGAACCAACCGAACCAACTAACTTCCGATTACCATCTAAAGGTTGTCCAATGTTAATGAGATCCAAATCGGTTGGCAAAATCCAACATCCAAATAAATGATTGGATCTGTTTGGTTCCCTTACATCCAACGGATGTCAATTAATGAACATGCCTAGTTTTGATTCAACAAACTTGAAAAAGACATGATTGACTCATCAAACTGTTTTGTTCTTGTTCTTTTCTCGTACTTTTTCTAATTTAGGATTTTTATTTGGATCGATTCAACGTACTCGGATTCAGGTTCGATGAAGAACTAAATAGAGGAGCCGGAAGTTGTATGTGTTAGGGAGGCTGCCAGAGATGGTGGTCGGAAGTTTCAAAACTAATACATCAGAAAGTTGTAGGTCTCCGTAGAGGTGTTCGGGTTTAGTTTGGTTTCTTTTTTTTTTTCGTAAATGTTTCAAGACTTGTACACATGTTTTATTTACTTGTACGATATAAAAAATATATTAAATATGACTAAAATGMCCCTCACTTGACTGCATTTAACGGCTCAACCTAACGGAAGTTAAAGGGAGGTCTGATCCATGAAAGTGAATTCAAAGGCTGTGATTATTGATGAAGTGTCAACAAACCACACAAATGATTTATGTAATTTAGGGGCCTTTTACCAAACGCTTACCGGGTAAACGCTTACCAAGTAACATATTACCTCACCGGATGAATATATTAAAAATCAATAATCTTACCCGGTAAGAACGAGATAAGGACCAAGAGTCTTACCCGGTAAGTGAGGGCGACAACTCTTACCACGGTAAGCGCTTACCGGGTAAATTGTTATATATTATGTCGTTTTGGTGGACTAAAATCTTACCCGGTAAGTGCATAATAATGTTAAATTTTACCAGTAAGCACTTACCGAGTAAGTATTTGATAAACCGCCTCTTACTCTTACTCTTACTCTTACTCTTAAAAGTAGCAGCTTATGCTGCAAAAGAAAAAGAAATGGAACTTCATTTTCTTTTATATTTCTTCAATAGTAATGGTTCATGCTATTTGAACCACCTTTCTACTAATTTCCTTTCATACAAATTAAAATCACTTCTTTTACATTTTTGTTGTTCCAATTTGATCCTAAAGGTTCAAATAACACCACCCGTTTGTCATACACCCTGTTGCCATCTATTCTACATACAATTGTATCAAAGCAGGCCAACAAATTCAGGTGCAGATGCCATCAGCAAATGAACAAAAAGAAGAACAAAGCAACAATCTAATGCCTATAATCATCTATCAATATCCACTGATCTAAATATTCTGCTTATTTGATATGGTAATGCATCCCTCTTTCATGCTCTTCTGCCCATTTGTCTTTTAAACCAAATCTATCCAAATTTCTATATCAAATAGATAAACCATTAGATGAATCACGAAGCTCTAGTCCTTCAAAAAGTTTCATTTGGTAAAGTTGGGATAATGCCTTTTTGTGTAATGTGTTCTATGTTCAAGTAGATGACCTGATGCAGGCGCAATGCACCTCAAGCCCAAAACTGCATACATGCACTACGAATCACAAAGCACACTAGGATATTATGGTACCCAGAAATTTGAATTCTACAACATGTAAAACTGTAGTTTCCACTCTTATTATGATGCTGTCTATTGACCAAAACCATTGCATCTCTTCCAGATAGTGATGATAATATTTTACCACTAATCTGCTACTATAATCAGTAGCAATATCGCATCTAAATTCCCAGAACTGAAAATTTCTGATTTAACCAAAGAGTAAGGAGTAAATTTCACACTCTACGAACAGCCAGCGGAGTTCATAATTCTTTAATATATCAACCACCTTAACACAAAGAAAGCAACTTTCTAGGGAGTACTAATCTTCCAGACTGCATCACAAAATAAGCAATTCAACACCTTCTCTCACTAACAACGAAGAAAATTGGAACAGTGTCTAAAAGAATTACTTTAGCTACCCCTACCTGGTTACGTAAAAAATATTTCCTACATAACTCTTGCCGCTTCATTCTCATCTTCATGTTGAACTCTTTTGCTAAGTTGCTATCATTCATCACTCTTCTTCAAAAAGTTGATGAACTAATTAAGAAATAGATTACAACTCAATTCCTACAACCATATAATTTCTATCAGACCTTAGGATCAAGAAAAGGGCATACTAATCTGATACCAAAGACCAATTCATAATACCATAGAAAAGATATGACTTACAATGGTGTCAACAAAAATTTATGTTACGAACAAGAAATTGAGCACAATAACAAGTCTGGTAACTTTTCAAGAAACATTTCATTATTTCTGTGTTCAATTTCCAAACAAACTAACATGGATCATGATTCATTAGGCAGTTAAGTTTCTAAATACCCTAGTTTGAACATTAATCATTCATCAGTTTATAATATCAAACGTAGCAATATAGCATATAGAACCAACACACAGGCGTTTTCAAACAATTTCAAGAATGTTTCTTATTCAACTGCTTCATCAAGATCCAATGACAGACATACCCATGCCCAAAGCAAGATGATAGCAATAAACATCAATACAACTTTAACAACAATTAATCGGAAAATTGGCCATATAATCTTGTACCCCTTTTTGTTGAGACTAACAATTTAACCTCCTTAATCTACTTCAAGTGTCGTATAATTGTAAAAAATATATAGATTTCCTTTCTGGAAAATTGTTGGCATTGCCTTTCAGAAAGGAATGTGGGTATTTGCGACACATACCCAATGGTTAATCAATCTATGTGCTCCGAACGGCCTCCTGTCCTTCAATCTGATTCGCAGCTTCTTTAGCAAGCTGCTTCTTATTCTTCTCAATAGCATTACCAACCTCAGCAGGCATATACTTCTCATCATGCTTCGCCAAAACCTCGCTAGCCGAAAAATAACAATCAATACTCCTCGCCTTGCCAGATACACTCTTCTCCGTGACTTCCTTCTTAATTTGCTCAGGAATCGGTTTCACAAAACCTTCAACAACAACCGAATGACCTTCCCTGAACAAGTCAGGTACTTGCCCCTCAAACCTAACCAACATATCCGTGATCAAATCAGTAATAACAAATTCAATCTCATGGGACGACGCCGGATGGGCTACGCTACCTTCTAGGACTAACCCACCGAGACGGAACTTATTTTTGCTAGGGTTTTCAGAGTATTTTGATAAAGCATCGGTAGGGGTTACATAGAATACTAATTGGTCTTCGAATTGGTTAAGTACGATGACGATAAATCCAGCGATACAGCTGAACGTTATGGCATATGTCCAGAGTCGCCGGTTTTGCATTTGGCGGGCACGGGCACCGATGTCGATTTTGGTTGGGCGAGTTGGTTGTCGCCGTGCGGTAGAAAAGAAACGGGAGGCCGTGGACAGTAGGCGAAAGTCAGCGGATGGTGAAATTTGAGATGAGACCATGGCCGGTGATGAAGAATTGGGGATCGCAGTGAAGATTGTACGGAGATTAGAAAGGTGAAAATTAGAATTGCCATTGCGAAGAAGACGAGATGCGAATCTGCAGCTTAGCCGAGAAGCCATTGATTGAAATTGTGTAGAATTTTCTAGGGTTTTAGAATTTAGATCTCTCTCGAGAGAAGAAACTATTCCCGTAGTTGAGAACAGATCCCCTTCCGGGTGGTTTCCTCAATATTTTAAATTTCTTCTTAGCCTTCAAGATCTTTATAAGACCAAAAAGGATGTTTTCACGGAACAACAAATTTGGTCAAAAAAATAACACTTTTCTTTCTCACGTATTTTTTAAATTATGAGATGGTTATCATGATTTATAAAAATATTAATATTTTTTAGAAATATCTAGAATTGTTTAAAAAAATAATTTATTGACTTATTTTGGTATGACATCAGTAATAAACATTTTTAAGTGTTTGAGGAAAAAAGCTTATACCGATGTCAAACAGATGATAAGAAGTTTTTGAAAAAGTTAACTCATTTTAACTTATAATAAGTTGATAAGCATTTTTGTAAAAAAATAAATTGTTTAAAATAAGCAATCTCAAACACCCCCTTGATAAACGTTAAAGAATTCTATTAATTAAGAAACATTTGCGTTTTTTTATCGATTTTTTTATCTTTTACCCAATCAAAAACCATAGTGACCGAAATCATAAATTTGATTTTGATTGGATTAAAAAACAAAAAAAAAAAAACGCCCCCCCCCCCCCCCCCCGGGGGGGAAATGTCCCTCATTTGACGAAATTTTTTAATTGTCATTAGAGGAATGTATCAAATACGGACGTTTTTATAAACCCCGATAACCATCTTGTAATTTGAAAACTAAAATAATGAATAGTGTTGTTTTTGACAAACTATAGGGACAAATTTGTAGTTTACTCTTCATAAAAAAATTTCAATTTTTTAAATGAAAGAAAAGAGATTTATAGTAGAAAAGACTAAGAGACCGTTTACCAAACACTTACTCGGGTAAATGAACACCAAGTTACATTCCCTTACCGGATGAATATGGTAAAGACCAAGAATCTTACCCGGTAAGAGCGAGAAAAGGACCAAGAGTCTTACCAGGTAAGAGCGAGACAAGGACGAATAGTCTTACCCGGTAAGTGAGGGAGATGACTCTTACCACGGTAAGCGCTTACCGGGTAAAATGTTGCATACGATACCGTTTTGGTGGACTAAAATCTTACCTGGTAAGGAAATAAAAATGTTAAATTTTATCGGTAAGCACTTACTGGGCAAGTGTTTGGTAAACGGCCTTTAACTTCACGTATATAGTTAAAAAAGCAATTTTATTGTAGAAATCTTGTACGGGTTTTTAGATTTTGGTTAGGAAATTGGTTTTGAATAATGTATTACTCGAAAGATTTGGAATGAACAATATATCGTGAATGAAACATTTTCCGAAAGTAATATTTCAGTCATGTTTCAACTTTGGTTTTCATGGAATTCATTTTGGGATAATATGGTTTGCACTCTAGTTTTTAGACAAAAAACGAGAGTAAAAACAGTTTGGAGATTGTTGTATTTTTCATATGTTCTTTTTTGATACCGAATCTTCAAAACCTAGAAGTTAATGGTCAGTTATGTTGTGGGAAAGTAGTTTTCTTGCTGCTAACGCAATTACTAGATAACTATGAATGAATACGAACAAAAACGGTTGCTCCACTTTACACCAGAGTCAGATTATTAGTTAGCTTTTTATAAAAACTTTGCTTTCAGAAGTTAGCTGAATATCAATTAGCCTTCAAACACTTTGTCTTCTTTAATATTAGGAAAGTATTTTAGCTTAAGTGGTCAGAATGATTAAGAGGCTATCATGATATAGTGCAAAATAAAATATAATTGTTTGATAATTGTTTAAAATGAAATTAGGTCATTGAATGGGTAAGAGAGGCCCAAGATACAAAATCGTTTAGAGGGTTTTAAAACCATTAAGAGGCATACGTTTTTTTGTCAAACAATATTCACCTTTTAACGATTCAGATGTTGCCTCTTAATAGAACTATTAAAAAGTAAACAAGCAACCTCTTACACAAAATAATTGATGACACTAAAATCACCAACAACTTTATCAAGATAGTTATGGTTGACACTAAATCAAAATTACTAATTAATATAATAAAGTTTCTAAAATTCATCTTTCAAGACCAAATTTGGTGGAAAATCGATAAAATATGTAATATCATTTTGAGTTTTTTTTAAAGGTAATATCTTGTTGTCAACTTATTTTGTGACGAGATTCAGTTTCTTTATTTTGAAGGATTTGGATTTCGTATAATGATTTAGATTTGATATAAGGATTTATAAAAACAAATTATATATAACTATAAAGTTAATTAAATTGCCATTTTATTAATCGTTTATTAATACAAAACAAATGTTTCAACGTATTTTTAAACTTTATTAGACACAAATGATACAAGATCCTATGAAATACCAACAAGCCTTGTGGGATTTCTAAATCCATAAATCCCGTTTGTGGGATTTCAGATTTCAAATCCAAACAATATATTGCTAATGATATCTAACAGCAACCGTAAAAAAGTTGTCGCGACTATAGAAAACATTAATTATTCAAAACTGATGTTTTGTGGTATTTGTTGGGGGTTGACATAAAAAATATTCCCTCCAACATTGCATCATATGAATACATTGATGATATGAAGACAATAGGATTCCTAACAGATTAAAAGTCATCGTAACACGTTAGGAACTGATCATTTAACAACTGGTTTGTCGTTGACGAATTCGTTTGCTTCATTTCGTACAACGCTTTCTCTTTGCACGACTTGTTGTGCTTAACATACACAGAATAATGAGATGTTTCCTGTAACATTAGCAACGGATAAACATTCATTAAATTTTACATAATAGCATCATAAGCGAAAGATTATGTGAGAAGAATAGTTAAAGTAAGAAGCGTAAGAAAGAATCTGAACCCTTGATCACTTTTAATCTCAAACTCATCCATAAATCGCGTTTGAAACGGGGACTCATTTATGCATCCCATCCTAATATGCACATCAAATGATGAAGATCTCTTTTTACGTTATTTATTTTACCAAATCTACAATAACACTTCAAATTTTATATGATGTTTGTCGTTAAAGTCTTTTGCTAAATAATTTAAAATTTATCAACCAACGCTAAAACAATAACCATTTTCTTTGTTCCGTTGAAAGTCGTATCTAAAGAATCTAAATGTCACGTTTTTAACAAAGATATAAAACGACGTTTTTATTAATACAAGTGTTTGAAATTGACGATTATTTTAAATTTTAGTGCCAAAAACAATTAATAAATATTTGCAAAATGTTTGGCGTAAAAATGTTGACACCAAAATTTAAGAATTGGGACAAGTGATATAATCACATGCCAAACAACTTGCACTACGTGTTAGAAAACGCTGTCAAAAGTTTCCATCGAATATCGCGACATGATTCGCTGCCTTTATTTACTTTTCTTTTTTGCTAATATTTTTATATTTTTCTTGTATCTGCCAGCCTGGAATTGAAAGCGAAATGATAATAATAATAAATATAAAATTAAATAATGTAGGCACACCGAAAAAGAAAAAAGAAAGAGAAAAGTTTCACTAACATAATAAATCGAATTGACAACAATACCCTCAACCCTTTATCAAATTTTCACATCATACCCTTCATCCCACCGGTAAACACCTCCAACCTCCGATACTTCGACGGAGACAACCGGAAAATAAACCAGACCTAAGCAGAAAACACGTGACGTAAGCAGCCTCTAATGGCCGCAACAACCTTTTCCTCCCTTTTCTCTCTCCTAGCTTGGCGCCATATTTTATAACCGCCTGAGATGCAAACGTGTTGATTGATTGAGCGATGTCGTTTTTCTGAAATCGTTTATATTATGTCTTAGACTTTGAGGATTTTCGCTGCTCTAACCACCGGATTTTCACGAGCGATCGCCTCTCGTCCAGCGGCTTTGTAATCGTAGCTACAGTCATGCCGATCGGAGTACCGATGATCGGAACAGAACATCTCACCGCATCGGCACCTAAATCCCATCAATCCGACCTTTCTTCGGCAACCTGAGCACCGATTCACCTCTCGCCGTTTAAACCTGTTGGACTCCTCCTCCGGAGACTCTACCGCCGCCAAACGTGGTTTCTGATGCAGATCCGGCCTTTTCGGCGAGATAGCGGTGCTCGATCTAGAGTCAACGACGACAACGCTCTTCGGATCCGATCTATCCGGGGATGATCTATGCTCATCGGAAGCAGGTATCTTAGACGTAGCCGGTGGTATCGACGGCGTACACAAGGATAAGGTTTCAGGAACCTTGAGCTCCGTCTCCTCTTTCTCCCTTTTCTGAGCCATAGCTTTACAAAAGAGAAACGGTGGTGGTGGGCGAGGAATGAAACAATGGAGGTTTTAGAGAGAGAAAAATGGACAGAGAGAGAAGGAGAGGGAGATTGGGAGGATAATCGTAAAGGTTGTGAAGAAGAGGTCGATAATGGTGGTGATGGGAATATGGGGCCCAGCGTTTCCATTGGAACGCGTATCAGAGGTTATGATGAGTGGGTCGAAATGACGAAGAAGCCCTTTGTGAGTTGTGCTTTTCCGAGTGGGATTTTAGATGAGGCCTGACGTGTTACATCCACGACTATGTGGAAAAGGATGTGTTCTACGTTAGCGGCCACCTCAGCTGCTCATGTGAACCACACACGTGGATTTATCAACCTTACAAAATTTAAATCTATATTTTTTAATCTCTTCTCTTTCTCATTACGTGTTTTGTTAGATTGAAATAAATTTATATTTTAAATTTATTTTAATTCCAAGTTTTATACGTTAGATTTTAGATTTTAAAATGAGTACTTATAGCACATATAGAAACTATCTTCAAGGACATCAATACGTGGGAGAATTTTTTTGATTCATTCAACTGCTAAGATAAATGAAAGGATCTGAGATTAAATTTATGACATGTCTTATATTTGAACAAAGTCATTTCACTCTTGTGAACTATCTTTAATTTTTTTTGAAATGATATCTACCACGAGATTTTTCTAATAGTAATAATAAAGCATTTTTGGAAGATAGTATTTATCGTGAGAGTAAAAGATTTTGTTTTTCTAATGCTTGAGACATATGCATTACGTATATGTATTTCAGGTGGAAAATATCGCATATACAATTGATTTCTTTAATTTCACGTCTAACTCTATTAATATGCATAAAGTGTATTGCTTGGGTCTTGTCCCCTTTTTGAAAAAAAAGATGTACATAAATCTACAGTTCCAATTGTTAGTAGATACAATTCCGACCATTTGTAATAGGGACTTAATAAATAGTCTGCCTGATTGAAAAATAGCAAGGTGCTATTCGTAAGTCCAATAATATGTGCACGATAATTTTTTGCTTTAGTGACCAGATTTCACTTATCACAAAATGCGAGCAAATAACATAGCGAGCATTAAAAATAGCTTCCTTTCTTGATTGCCATATTGTGAAAAGGTCTGAAATTTTCTTTTTTGCTTCTAAATGAGATCTTACCATATATGGAAGGTCACTTTATAGTTTATATAGCAACGAAAACCGAAAAGGGTAAAATTGACGAAATATCAACAGAATAGCAATGAACTAGCGGCAAAGAAAAAACGTCTAATATACTGTTAAAGTACCGTCACTACGATAGATCAACACCATATTAGCAACGATCTGTTGATCTCTGAAGTTATTGGTAACCTGTTTATAAAGAGTTTATTAGGAAGGAAACTTTGAGCTTATATTAGCCGTGAAAGGCTTACGGTGAATACCTAGGCACCCAGAGATGACGAAGAGCATAGTAAGCAACAAAAATGCTTGGAGGAGTTGAAAATAGCTAAATGTCATCGTACTTACGTGCACTATTAACCTCTCATACTGTAGTTAGGATATTGTTTACGCTTTTCTAGTCATTCTAGAAACAAAATTTAAAATATTGGATTTTTTGTTATTTAAATCACGTATCTCCGTCACTCGTAGTGATTTATCATTCAATGAATGAGTGAGACCGAAGTGACTCCTCCATATATCTGGAGTTGAATATATCCATTCAAGAATTGTTTTAGATGCATTCCATATGAATCAATAGAGAGACAAATGTCTTTAGATACACCACATCCAACTCGATTATTGTTAGATTTATAAGTTCTATTTTTTATAAAATTTTATTGTTGATTCATCGTTAAATAATACGTAATGAATCAATGACAACCATTTTATTTTTAACTTTTTTTTTTTTTTAATTCGCCGGCAATATTCTTAAATGAAGACCGATTATTAATTAATGGGTTGTTTACCAAAAATAAAAATTATAAAAAGTAAACCCTTGATTGATGTATAGTGTCCATGTATGTTTACTTTGCTAGGTTAAATTAGGTTAAGCATTTGATAAAAACTCTTAAATATCATTTTTTATACATGAAGTATTGTTTATTGATACATATTACTTAAAATTTAAGATTACAAGTAAATTGTGCATAAGTACAACTTATTAAAGTTTCATATTTGAATTCGTGTAACTAACTGCATATAAACATAATCAAATATTAGATAAACATTTCATTTTAAATATAAAAAATCTAAAATATAATTAGGATAATCATTGAGTTATAATAGAATACTTAGTTATTATCTTTATAGAAAATTATATTATTAAACCTAAATTAAATTTCTTTGTTACTAAATCTAAATTAAATTATAATTAAAAAATTGAATTAAGTAAATTACACCAAAACACAAGAACTTTTAAAAAGACTTAATTTGTTACTGATGTCAATATATATTTTTTTTTCAAAATTTTATGATATTTTCAAATTTATATTTTATTCAAAAATAAAAACATTATGTCTTTCTCAAAACCACATAAAACCGTATTATATCGACATAAAAAAAGAATAAAACAAAATACTGAAATCAAGATTTGTCTCGATGCATTACGACAAGTACCCTTCTAATGAGTGTATATTGGGTTAATATGTATCATACCGAATCGTATTCGGTCATTAACCCATGTTCGGTTGTGATGGGTTACAATGACTCTAGAACCTTTTCACCCAAAATGATCTATTAAAAACCCTGTTAATATGGCCTATCAAGCACTAATTCTACCTATATATATACATCCTAGTCATATATACATACTTAAAAATTTACACACATATGTATACAACTAGAAGTATACCCGTGTATTATCGTACAATACATCTCTATTTAATCTCTCTAGAATTTATATATGGATTTGTACGGTTTTTAGAAAACGAGGAAGTCTTCTCTGTTGGTTGTCAGTCTTATGAAATATATTTTGTGGTATTAGTTGAACTTAACATTTATCTTATATTTGATCATATATATCAATTGATTACGATATTTTTTTTACTATTTACATTAATTCATTCAGTAATTGGTTGAAAATTATCTGTAATTCAAAATTCTAACGAATGGTAAATTTTCAAACTCTGTTAGGTTTTAATGGTGAAATCTTTTTCCCTCTTTAGCTTTTACCTTAAACTATGAACAACATACTCTCTCTCTCTAGCCCAATGATGCAAACACCCTGCAACTACACCTCGATCGACGATGTCGTCCTTATTCCTTAACACCCAACCCAAGTATGAAGTCTTCCGTTTATAGATATGCTTCTGTTTGTTGGTTTTATTTTTTATTGCTAAATTGATGATTTTTCTATTATACAACATGGCATATATATGCCTTCGATATAGAAATTGCTTAGTTTCACCTTTTTCAAGTGTCTAAATTAGTTTATATATTGGTACGCGTACATGCATGCAGGGGCGGACCGCCTAAGGGGCCTATAGGGGCCCTGGCCCCTGTGATTTTTTTCCCAATTAACCCTCCATAGTATAATCCATTAGGTTGTAGAACCCCAAAAAATTCAACCGGCCTCCCCCTTCAATCCCGAGAGGCGAGCGACGGAGCGAGAGCAGCCTGTGTGAGGGCGAGCCGACGAGGAGTCGAGGAGGGTGACCACGGCGTGACGGCACTGACCAGCGTAGACAGCAGACGGCAGACTAGGCGTAGGCGAGACGCGAGACGGCGAGAGCGCAGGCTGCGCAGCAACCAGCGTAGACGCAGGCGGAGTCGGAGGCAGCACTCGGGCCTCGGCGGTSGACGGCCAGCCGGCCACGGTAACTCCAGCCTCCCGGTAAGTCCGTCCTTCTCTGTTCTCTCACTTCTGCTGTTCTGAGTTCCTTACTTTGCTGTATACTCTGGCCTCTAAATGCACTTTCTATTTTGAAATCAAAACCCAGAAGTGGTGATTTACTGATTTAGGTGATTATTAGGTCTAAGTTTATTGAAATTGGTTATATCTTATATGGTGATTTACTGATTATGTGGTGATTTAATGGTTATGTCATATGTGATATGTGGTAATGTGGCTGAAATTGGTTATTTAGAGATGCCTTTGGTTGGTATTTGAAATTGGCTGAAATTCACTAAAATCAGGAAGAGATTCTGCAAATCCCAATCTAGCAGTCTCGTTTTGGAGGGAGGAACTTGTCGAGTTTTTCTTGCACAGTTGCTTCCTGTTTCCTACACTACTCACCATTGTAGATTCCCGGCTCCTTTTGGATAATAAATTTTTCATCTTCTCTGCACCACCTAAAGATGGTATCCAGCCCTCATCAATTAGCTTTGGAACTGGAACGAGCTTTCCTCTTTACACTCGACATCAAAAAAGCTTCTCTGAAGCTCCCTTCAGTCTCACTGGGACGCATAACTGAGTTCCCATTGGCACTTCCAAGTACTGAAGATAGGACATAAAAGGTTTTTGACAATTTTGCATTTTGTCTCATATTTCGCAATATCCTTTTATTTTTAGGCCACTTCCATGAATCGAACTTCAAACGACCAGAAGTTGTGGTTTCATCTAGATGACCTGGCCATTTTTGGAACAATTCCTTCTTTGTAGCCTCTTTTAACTCACAAGAATCTGAACTAGGACTTTAGTTCTTTTCCTCAAATTTGTTTAGTTCTCTTCCTCAAGTCTAGTTCGACAAGGCAAAGGTGAAAAGGTATTCACTTCCTGTTGTATTCCCCCAAGTGGGTTACATTTGTCTGGTTTTACTAAACCATGTTTTTTGTAACCACCTTGAATGTTTTCCTTGTTTGAATATGGACAGTGTATTTTTGGTACCTTTAAAATATATAATATATTAGGTCCGGCCCCTACGGTTGGAAAGTTTGTGTTCCGCCCCTGCATGCATGGTGTAACAACCAACTTATAATTGATAAAAGAAATTAGTATAAATGCCAACCAATTTTACTTGTATACCAACTTAATTGGTTCCAAGTTTTTTCTTTCAGTTGTTGCATATTAATAATAATATTGCACCAACATCGCAACATGTAGAGTTTCAATTCAAAAAACATGCAAAACCACAATCAATGCAGAGACTAAGTTTAAAACAATGCACTGAAAGTTAGTACAAAGTTTAAAACAAGAGTGTCTTCAAAAAGTTGAGAAATTTTGAAACGTGTTACAAAATGTCTAAACTCAGAAGCAAATTAAACAAATAGAAAATAATAAGCACCATGCATATGAGATTTGTTGAAGTAAAAACATTGCTCTTAGAATATGAAGAGTGTGAAGTCTTCTGTTCATTGATTTGTTTGCTCAACTCATGGACTTGCTATATATGTAGCATTCCCTCCACAATAAATTAGAGATATATTTAGGGGTCGTTTATCAAACACTTACTCAGTAATCGCTTACTAGTAAAATTCCACACAATCACTTAGGGGTTGTTTACCAAATTTTCTATTAAGTCCTGTATGGATAAATTTGTCTGTCTGGATAAATTTATGTTGCTGTTTACTTTTCTATTTGAATGAACAGTCTGAATAACAGAAATGACCAATTTACCCCTGAGGATTAACTATGGGCTGTTTAGTAAACTGTTGTTCATCTATTGGAATATGAGATCAATAACAATAAACAACCTCTAATACACTTTGTTCTTCAACAAACAAACAAACAACCCCTAATACACTATGTTCTTCAACAAACAAACAAACACCCCCAAAGTATATACAAACACACATCTTATTATCAAATAACCCCAATTGCATCACCCTCTCACCATTCTGTTGTAAACATACCCATTCGTATCTTCGTCATCTGCAATCTGTAGCCCTGAAACAGCCTGTGCAGATATCTCATCAACATACTCTAAACACCCATCTTCACCCCATCCACCATTCTTCAAAATCCAACCATTTCCATTGCCACTCCTCCTGTAAATGTAAGGCCGCTTACTGCCTGTTCCACCACCAATTAGGACTTGCAATGCGACCGCTTCAGCTATTGCAGCACCCTCTTCATCCAGCCTTTTTTGTTCTTCTTTCTTGTTCTGTTTCTTCTTCTCTAGCTCTGAAATAATGGCTGCCGACAGCAATCGATGCATCAAACCCAAAAAAATCGAGCATGTACTAGCAGCAAATCAGCAGCAGTCGAGCAACAAATAATCGGCCGATTAGGGTTCTTGGAGGAGAAGAAAGCGTCGATTCTTGGAGGAGAAGAGAGCGATTCTTGGAGGAGAAGAGAGGCGTGGGTTGGAATGAAGGGTAGGAGTGTCTTTTTTTGGCTTAACGTGGACAACCCATGGTAGCCATCTGGGCGAATAGCCCATGTCTGGCCGAATAAGCCCGTAGTAAACACCCTAAAATGGTTGTGCGAATAAGTTAATTTATCCATTAAGCCTCAAGTAAACAGGCTCTTACTTACCCAGTAAGATTTTAGTCAACAAAAGCGACATCTCATATCATAATTTATGCGGTAAGCACTAATCATGGTAAAAGTCAGCGTTCTTACTTATTAGGTAAGACTCTTGGACCTTGTCTGACTCTTACCAAGTAAGATTCTTGGTTCTTACTATACTCATCTTGTAGGATAATGTGATTTGGTAAACGCTTTCCCGGGTAAGCGTTTAGTATGACAAGCTTATTCGCTAAAACATTTCATGATTCGAGAAACTAATTAGAAAAAATATTAAAGATTTCTCGACCTCAAAATTTAAAAAATAAAAATCAATTACATTCATATACATTTTATATTCTAGTTTAAAAAACATGATATCATAGAGGAAAGAGCATTGAATATGAGTTAGATTCGATCATTAAAGTGAATCTTTATCATCATAAATAAGATGGGCATGGATGATTACATCTCGATTGATTATAAAATCGTATAAGAATCTTGATAAAAAGATCAATATCTAAATCAAATATAAATTTAAGGAATATAAACTAAGTAATAATTAAATCCTATGAAGGTTAAAACACCTTAAATGATGCTTGCTGTTTTCGATTTCTTTAATTAATTGTATGTTTATATATCGAATTGGTATAAATCGATCGTTAATATAAATAGCAATGTTTTTATAAAACATGAATTTATTTTGTTTACAAATTAGGGTTAAAAAGTTAAAGGTGCTATTGTATGTGTGTATATATAATATGATGCGAGTTGAGATGAAAATTTGGATAGGACACCCTCTTGAACATTCATTAATGTAAAACCATTACAAAACAAAGAAATTAAAAGGTGTTATTATCAGAAAATTCGGCTTCGCATGCCTGTCGATCGATCTTTCTAAACATGTTAATTAGTCATTCCACATTGTAAAAACACTCGGGTTTGATTCTTGAACAGACGAATCACCGGACCAGCCTGCGTAGTTCTCTGTTGGCAGGTTGTCATAATCAACCTTAACCATCGCAAGCTCTTCCGCTGTACTTCCTGACTGGCCAAGAAAATTACCTAAATACCCTCCGTTGCTGTAACTGCCGCTCGAGCTACCACCATTGTTGTTGGTAGCATCCATCACAGAAGAGGAAGATCCACCAACACCCATGTTCATCAACCCATGGAGCAAAACCGGGTTATTTTGAAGATAGCTGTTGTAAAACTGAGGTGTTTGACTTGTTGACTGGTGAGGACTATGCATGTTATAAGGGTGATGATGATGGGTTTGGAGGTAATTCTGGTGAAAGTGAGGGTCTTGAGTGGAATAATGAGAAATTTCTGGATTTTGTAAAGTTAGCAAAGGTTGTGGTGATTGTGTCTCAAATGGTTGCTGTAAGAGAGGATAGGCTTGTAACACACCACCCGCGGTGGCCGAGGTTCCGAAAGGAAAACCCGAGCCAAGAGCGATCATTTCTTCACGTTTTCTTGACGACTCGATTGCCTGAGCCTCCTTTAAACGTTTAGCCGCTCCTCCTCCAATCGGGAGAGTGTTGCTTTCGAGGATACTTTTCACATCGTAACGGCTCATGTCAAAATTTGTAACTGCACTTAGACCTCTAAACTTTATGGCTGCTATATCGTAAGCTTCTGCAGCTTCTTCTTCAGTACCTGCATGAAAAGTTTGCCACATGAATCTTAAAATACATCGAATTAATCTTGAAAACCATAGGCGAACTACATTTTTTAACAACATAAATTTCAAGATTTTAAAATAGCATGCCTTTTGTTTTGGAACATGAAAGAGTTAATTGCAGGAAAACAATGAGCGTGTAATAGGGGGACAAAACCCTAAATTTGATTCAAGTCTTTATGAAGTTAATAAATGCTAGTGTTTATTGGTAATCCACATGAAAAGCTAGAGACTATATATATATAGGTGCATGAACTGATTATTAAAAATGTACATACTGAAAGTTCCCAAATAGAGATCTTTGTTGCCTGCAACTCTTCCTATTCTTGCTTGCCATCTTCCATGCTGATGATGCCTGATATTATGCATTTAAGAGATTGTATGTGAGAGAGAAAGAGATTGAATCGTTAACATAGAAGGGTTTAATTAGGGTTTTTGGTACCTGGTTACACCTCGATACATAGATGCACCACGAGAAAAGCCACTGCTCTTTCTGTGATAAAAAAATGTTGTTTGATTATCAATTTAAAGAGACCTGTTGATCGATGAAACCTTGAAATGATTACCAACCTTCGAATGGATGCTACAAATTCTTGTCTGGTCATGTGTTTCATGTCCTCAAGTTCCTTTTCATAGTTAGTAATCTAAAATGTATATGAGAGATGACTTTGGTTAGTCAACGGTTACATAACGAATAACAACGATTGCATGTACTTGAAGAGTGAAAATGAGAGCGTCGGTGGCGAAAGTATACTGGAAAATTAGTGGTGGTAGAAGTTCCCCAGTACTTAAGTGCAGCCATATCATAAGCTCTAGCTGSTTTCTCTTCTTTGTCATATCCACCTAGTCACCACAAATCAAAGTTTAAAATCAATAAGAGCAAAAGAGCCTTAATTAGCTTCCAAGGTAAAGAAATGAGACAACACAATATACAATCAAACTCACCCAAATAAACTGCATCATAAGGATAGCCGAACGATTTTGGAGCCAAAAGATAAAATGAAGAAGTTAGTTATTTTCAAAGATCAAATGAATGAAGGCCACAGCATTTGCAAGAAGGTACTCTTGACATTGTAGAATCAAACTTCAGAGAATCATCTTCTTTATAACACAGAAGTTGCATTTCTTGAAAATAAATGTGTACCTTGACGTCCTTTTCTTGATTGCCCCTCTCTTCTACAACTATTGTCCCATAAATGAGCTTCATATCTTCCTGTCCATCTATGTCTGTATAAAAGCAAATCAAAGATCAAAATCATACATCAGATTCTGAAATTCTTTGTAGATGAAATTGGATTAGAATATATATGACTACCCAAGATGTGTAAATCAAAAACATAAAATGGTTACAAGAACCGACCTAGTTACACCGCGATAGATTGAAGTCCTCTGACCAAATGTATCCAAAGTTCTTCTAGGGTTAGCTTCAACAACACTAGTACTATTGTTATTATCATTGCTACTGTTTTCTCCTGTGCTGGTTTCACAAGTTGAACGCTTTCCACTACCCATAGACAATGTCAAAGATTGCAAAGTGCTTGCATTTTCTGGCAGTTCGTAACTTGTAGGCGTGGCAGATAAAGTGTTTTGAACTTGAGGCAACAGACTGCTGCTTGTGAACAGATAGTCAGTGTCATTACCCTGGATATCATTATACGCCACAAGATCTGAAGAATTCTCGGACTTGCTCACACCCAAAAAATCAGCAACTTTAGGGACGTGATCGTTGTTGCCTTGTTCCCCAATTAAGTTCCATTCTGCACCAATATTTTAACAGCAACATTACATAAACAAGCAAACTAATTAACAATAACAGTTATGTAAATCCAATAAAGTAAACATATCTACCTTGGTTAGGGAAGGGGGTGTCCATGTTATCATGGACAAGTCCAAGAGAAAAATTGTGGGATTGAGAAGTATTCAGATGGGGTGGTAAGGATGAGTGAGTTGGAGAAAGAGGAAACGAAAGCCAGTTGTTTGAATTCATGCTTGCTTTCTTGCACTTATGAAGCGAATATTATGTGAACTCCTGCAGAAATTTAACACCAAAAAGTTGCAGAAAACAAGAACAAGAGAGGAAGCACTGAATAAAGACAGAAGTAGTGTTTGATTGCTTGAAAGAGACCAGTGAAAACGGTAAAGATATTAGTAATATTACCCTGCAAGAAACTTGAACAGAATTAAAGTGTGTTTCCTTTCTGTAACAAGATCGGTGACGAAGGACTGAAGAAGACAGAAATTCGAAGGAAGATGCAGAGAAGAGAAGAGAAAAGGAAAGAAGTAATTAGAAAGATGGAAGTATTTAATACTAAATACTCTTGTATCTTTCTATTCTCTCTTTCTCTCTCTATCTCTACAGAAACCCTTTTGCTATGTTCATTTTAAGTAGTCCGAGAGTCTGACTCCTGCATCTTGCACATCAGATATTTTTATATAGTTTGAGATTTAATTATGTAATTAATTCTAATGTGAAATTAATTATAACTTAATTAATACAAAGTAATTGTACAAACAGATAAAGGGCACACAAAGCACGAGTGCTTTTTATTACACCAAAAAGTTCTACAAAAATACTATTTTTCTGAAAGAAAATAAAAACAGATTCACACACAAGTTTCCTGAATTCTTAACTTAAAATTTATAAAACCTTCATGAATTAATGGTGTCATTGGATCAAAGAAAAGATATTTAGAACAGAAGATGATGCATCTGAATAGAAATTAAACATCTTAATTCACCTCTCTCACACTCTATTGCAATCCAAGTTGAGGGGTATTGGAACTCACTAAACACCTCGTACTTGCAAACAAATTGACACCCCAAAGTCCAGCATTCCCACACTATCCAAATCATCTTATTGGACTATACTTAATTAACACCTCTATATATACATATACATATATTGTATGTATGAATTAGTTGATTAAAATTTAGGACTTTCTCTTAATTAATCAAATCTAAACGTAATTAAAAGAAATGGGTATTAATTATAAAGTGATGGAAGAGGATGTTGATCCCCGTGCAGTGGTGCAGGTGTTCTAAATTTAAAGAATATTTATGATCGAGTAGCAGAAGTAATTGAGTAAAATTTACGAAATTTAGTTTTACCACAAAATTAAATATAAATATTAATTAATTAAAAGGTTTGTTCCATGGATGGAAAATTAAATCGAAAATAATCAAGAGAGAGAGATTGAGAAAACCAAGTAGAAATCTGTTGACCAAGTAATTGGGAAACGCACTCGTCAAAAAAGTAAATTGTGAAACAACAAAAAATAATAACAGTTGCTACTTAGCCTCTTTCTTTTTTAATTCCATTAAATGTTTTTAATTTTCTGCCTTCTGTCTTCCACTTGCTGGTTTGATCGGTCAAACTACATTCTTTTTTTTTACTATTTTCTTTTTACTAATCAGGATCAATACTAAATCAGGTTTGATCAGTGAGCTATGAAGTTTTAGCAAGCTATGGCTACCATATACCATGTTCATAGCTACATTACCCAACATGAAGATGGCCTACAACGTTTGAAGATCAATGCTACTATACGGGATCAAGCAACCGATGCTTGTTTTCTTGAATATAAGGTTCTTAAATAAACAAATCTAACCCGTAAAACCATGATCGTTTTGATCAAAATACAAACCTATAACACCCTTTCACATGGCTGATTAGTCATTTTGTTTTCTGTTTTGTTTTATGGTTCAATGATCAATTGATCTAATCCACTAATTAGTCATGATAGAAGGGACAAATTGATTAGTATTTCTACATTAATTCCCAACAAATTAATATGTACATATACATACATACATATTGAGCATATGTAGATACAATTGCATATAGACAGGTTTACACTTTGGCATTATTCATGCATAAAGTAAAAAAACACAGAGAATCTGTAAAGGTAATAAACCTAAAAAAGATGAATAATTAAAGCGTTAAAGGCGATTTATGTATTGCTTCATGACATTGTTAATGAATTTAATCACACGTTTACTGTCAAAGTTGATTGTAGAGAAATGTGAATTTTGTCAGAAATATTTCTTTAAAATATATAATATTAATAAAAAAAGAGGAGGGTTGACTGAAGTGCTCCAAAACAAGGAGGCAAGGACCCACGTCTCTCGCCACCTTTTCCAACCCTTTTAAACTCATACCATTAGTTAATGCATCTGTGTGTGCTTAAGTATTAAGTATAGCTGTAGGTGAAGAATCGATCGGCTTAAGAAACCCTGACAAATTGCAAGGAAAAACGAAGAATAAAATGGGATCGAAGATACCCAAAAAAAGAAGCAGCAGAGAAGCATAAGAAGAATGGAAAAACAAACGCATTTGTGTGAAAACTGACTAAATATTCAACTGCTGTGGACTGTCAGAAGGTCAGGGATGAAGATTCTTTTTCTATACTACGTGTTTGCTTGGGGAAAGGTGGTGGGGATTTACCACCGGCCATTAATTAGGGTTTCTAAGCAATTAATTTAATTAATAACTCCATTTTTTTAAGTTGCAAAGGAGATGAATCTGTATCTATATCTATATATACACATGTGTGTGTATAGAGATCGACGTTTCAGGATTTGCGGAAACATTCGATGGAATGTGACTGCTCCATATCAGCAATCATATCATTTACTCCATGTGTTTGCAAGATTAACTCTGCCTTTCTGTTCCTGTACATGTAAAAAAATGTTACCTTCAACAAACGTTCGGACTAAAAATCATACAATATACAAAGATAATCTCTTTTTTTGGTAATCTAATCCATGTTACTATAAATAAGTGTCGTATAGTATTTGATATGTAATTTCTACGTAATAATATTTTGAAGCGTGAATTTTAAACTAAATTCTAGATTTCGTATTTTGATTTTCATTTTTATAGTTTAATATTATGACGAGAAAGAACCTTGTCATACATGTTTCACATTGGTGTTCGTCCCTCCCCTTAATTCCATTCATATTTTTTGGTAAGTGACAATTGTGCCCCTTACATGAAGAGTGTTTTGGTATTTTGTTTCATAATAAGATGTGATATTTTGGTGATAAAATTAACTAAGAACATTATCAAAAACATTATGCAAAGCATCAGCTAAGAACATTTTTTAACCCTAATTAAAACGGTAATTCCATCTTATTAGAACAACTGGTATGAACATCAGAAACGTTAACGACATGTTTTTGCTAACTTATTTAAAAAAATTAATTTCTCTTTTTGAGTATTAAGTTTTAAAGAATTTCTTTACGCTTGTAGAAATCTCTAGTTTTCTCTATTTTAAAGAATTATATACAGAATTGTTAGAATAAAATACAGAAAAACTACATACCATGCATAATATTGAGTTAAATGTTTACAAGTTCATGAAACAAGTTAAAGAGCAAGAATGGCATTTTGGTAGTTTAAGGTTGGCAACAGAGGGCATTTTGGGAAGAAAAGCACACGAGAATCCAGAGGGAAAGTTTGATAGTTTCCAAGAGGAGGGTGGTGGGTGGTGGAAGGGAACGCCGGGGAAGAGCTCGTGTCGCCTCGAAATGAGACAAAGTGTGTTGCTACTACTTATTTATACATACATACATACAAAACTTATTATATATATATATATAATGGTTGGTGTTGGAACCCGAATATGTTTAGTTTTCTTTTTCTATGAGAACATAAATAAAAATAGGTGTTAGGGTTTAGGGTTAGGGTTGTTTTGTTGGAAGTAGATGAAGAAGACATGCATAGGTTTAGGGTTAAGAATTCACATATTCTTTTGTTTCTGACTGCTTCCCCTTACAATTCCCATGAAAAGCAGGCTTGCAAATTTATGAGATATGTGGGGATCTAAAAATAACCTCATCATATGTTATTTTATAAATCCTTTTATATATATATATATATATATATATATATATATATATATAAGTAGGCTGAAGAAATTACTTAAAGAGAGTATTTCTGTTTCACACTAAAAATATTTCCCTTTTAAATATGTAAATTTGTGATTTTATTAAGGGAAAAAATTAATATTAAACATGTTAACTTATATAAAATTAATATTCACAATTTTAGTACTCTATATAAACACTAAAGTCATAGCGGATATCATTTCTAGAGAGTTAAAGTATTATTATAGCGGATGAAATGTAGCGATTCAAATCATTAAAGAGAGTTAGAAGTTAAATACATGTCGAGTACGTTCCAGTGGATATCATTTCTAGAGTTCATTTTATTACATATATGTGTGGTATTCAGAGTTTCAAGTTTCTTCCAAATCAATCACCATATCATTCGTACTTAACTTTTGTCCATTACATAAACACTTGTATATATACATATAAAATTTTTTGAGGTTCACTTGTAATTTAGATCGATCAAGATGATTTTTTAAGCTACTAATGTTTTCGAGTTCTACATGCTAGTAAAATTTGGTGATTTATCGAGCAAATATCAATTGTTTTTTCAAGTACGACTTGTGCATACATATAGTAATATTTGTTTTTTTATTTTAGATGTAACTTTTCACTTACAAGTTCGATTGTGATGATTTTTTGTTAGATATTGCTGATTTTTTTGATATTACATGTTGGAAACTAAGGTGATTTATCAAAGAAGTATTGAATGAAACGTTATGACTTTAGGAAGATGTTACTACAAGTACTACATGTAACATTTCAGACCAAAACCTAGTTGTGATAACATCTGTAACATCTTAGTCCAATCATACCAGATATTGTACGTTTTGTCCACACACATGGACTCATGGTTTTAAACGCCTTCTGATAGATGAGGTATCAACTTTATAATCCACCCCGTTGGGAGCCCAACGTCATCGCTGGCATACCAGTCCGGAACTTGGCTCTGATACTATTTGTAACATCTCAGGTCAACCACACCAGAAAAAACACACCAACCAATGTGAGATATTATAAAATTTTAAAATGCATCTGATAAATGTGGTATCAAGTCCTTTATAAGGTAACTTTTATTTCTCTCCCCAACCAATG